TTTTCATACAATACTGTTTTGTCAATACCCCTTCCATTTTATTTAAAGATATCTCTAACTCCTCCTTGTTAGATGCTGCTATATCATCTGCAAATCTAAGCATACTGATCTTTTGTCTCTATATATCTATACCTACAGTTGTACTGTCTTTAATAATGTTGATCGTGTCTTCGATGTATAGATTAAATAATAGGTGACAATGTGCATCCTAGTCTAAGTCCCTTTCTAATATTTACTTCTCTACGTTGCTGCTCCAGCTCTATAACTATCTATTGCTCTTTATACAAACTAAGTATCACTCTTCTATCTCTGTAACTCATCCTTACATTTTTAAGTATATTTAATATTTTGTCCCATTTAACATTGTTAAAAGCTTTTTTTAAATCTACGAATCCTATGTATGCACTCTTTCCTTTTTCTATCGTTTTCTCTATTGTTACCCGTAGAACCAAAAAACGACCCCCTGCGTTCAATTGATTACGATGCAAAATTTTGAAAACAAACAACATAAAACGAATAATACTGTAGTTCATGCCATTTGCTTTACAGTAGTTGTATCATAAAATAGTTATTAATTATTTTTCTTTTGTTTCAGGCATGGAGATTTATTGAAAAAATTGAACTAGAGAGATCGACTACTACGAAAGACTGAAGCCAAAAACAAAATTATTTAATCATGGAAATAGATAACTCTTTTTGAATTGAAAGAATAAAACTGTAGCGGTCGGTCGAACAATTAAACAATTTCGTATCTTGATCTTTCGTGCTACCCTATGGATTATGAAATTGTTTTGAAGTCTGACACAATTTTCTGGAACATTTACCATTAGAACGAAAACTATGTCAGGCAGTAATCTTACAAAGTGTAAAAACAAAAGTGATCCGCGAGAGCTCTACGCTTGAGTACTAGATAAAATCAGTTTAATATGATAGAGTGGTTTATCACAAAAATTGGCTATTACTCTAGATGATGTTATTTATTTAATAGTTTATTTTGAACGTGTTTTCCTCATATAAGCAAACCATCTAATCAAATGAAAAATTTACCCTTTGAGAAGGGAATACAGAACGTTCTCTAAAGGCATCAGTAATACCGAAACCAAACTTTTGCATGGCGAAGAAGATATCGATTGGGGGTTTTCCCGCCCCTTTTCCAATTCTCGCACTGCTGCTTATCAATCTTGTCTCAATTACATCTCTAACATATTCAGGTGAGGAATTTAGGTTATCTTATTATTTGGTAATTAGGAAACTTATTCGACTGGTGGATGAGATTTTAAATAACGAATTAATGACCTGAGCAAGAAAAATGCATGAAAAATTTTTGTATCATAATATTGTATAAGTTTAGCAGAGGATAGCGCAGGGTCGTGTCGCCTTTAATAAAAAGAAGTCACTTCAATGCTCGCGAACGGTTAATTTAGAAATTCGAAAAAGGTTGTTAAAGGTGTATGTTTGGAGCGCGGCGTTGTACGGGTGCGAAACATGGACAGTGGACGCGGCGAAAAAGAAGTGGTTAGAAGCGTTCGAAATGTGGTGTTATAGGCGAATGATGAGGATAACGTGGATAGAAAAGGTTAGAAGCTTTCGAAATGAGGTGTTATAGGCGAATGATGAGGATAACGTGGATAGAAAAGGTTAGAAATGAAGAGGTATTAGAAAGACTAGGAGAACAGAGGAAGTCAATAAAGAATAGGCGAGATAGGTTGGTAGGCCACCTTCTTAGGCATGAAGGGTTAGTCAGAGACATATTAGAGGCAGAAACAGGAGTTAGGAGGGGTAGAGGTAGACCTAGGTTAGATTATTTTTCACAAATAGTTAAGGATGTGGGTTGTTCTGGTGTTAGGGAAATGCGCAGATTACCTCAGGATAAGAAAGAGTGGAGGTACTTGTCCAACCAGTCTTAGGACTGACGACCCTATGATGATGATGATATAAGATTTTTATAAATGGACTAGAGTAAGGGTTATTTATTTATCATTAATTTCGTCTGCATCCAATACTTTTGTTTTCACGAAGTCCAACATGTCAAAATGTTACAGTTTCATCAAGTATAAAATCCTTAAATCTTTTTGGTTTTCGCCCTAGATTATCATAAATATAATTCACAAAACCAAAAGAAGGAGTAATTCCTTATGGAAAGAAAGGATAATCTTCTGATTTTTACACTTAATAAAGCAGTTTGTTTTACTACTTGAATATTAAGTTTAAATATAATCTGTGGTTTCTTCTTCAACTCGATTCTTGGAACTTATTAAAGTATAATATAAATAAAATGTCTCCTACCTGAATTGGGGGTTGAATATGGAAGTTTAGTTCTTTGCCTGCTATCCCTCTTCCTTAAATCGGCCTGAATCAAGGGAACAACCGGTGATTTACTGCTAAAAGCGTTAATTCCCCAGGAGAACCGTTCACACCATCAATGCGACAACTTTTTTATTCCGGTGACTAAGTGTCGACATTTTTAGGAAGTCATAACCTCTAGAAAACTCAGAGATAGATAACACTACCGACTATGTGGATACATATTACATTTTATTAAATAAAGAATAAAACCAATAGTCTTGTAGAGTGACATTTTTAGGTCACCCTCGTGTACTTCGTTTAGTTTCTGTAGCGATTTGACCTTCAGTTTGACCGGCACAAAGTAGAAAAGAACAACATTAGGCCAGAAAAGAAAGGAGACAACTCTCGATCAAATCTTAACCGGTGAGGAGCGTATAATCCGTACAGTACTGCACGGAAAAATTGACCATTTTATCCACTACAATTGCATTGTTCAAATGTGCTGTTAATGGTACCATTTACTACTGAAAATATCAACGAGATGTTTATTTATGTTTGAAGACATATATTAAAGGCTTTAACGCTTGTTTTCGACTCGCACTACTATTCATGATTGAACAAAACTTTTGGCAGGTACTGTATGAAAAAGTATGTTTAATGAACAAGAGTCGAGAGTATAA